CTATTTCATTAGGTCTAATTTTCTTCTATACCAATGCTCCGACTGGAGCCCTATGATGGATAGCGTCATTCTCGAAAGGCGCGTATACCTTTTGTCTTATCCTACAGATTCAGTTAAGTACCCAGATGTGCACTACATATCTCGCGTGGAAAAAAACATCAGCTATCTCGACCATCTTCATATATTGTTTACATCACAGTCTACGGTTGACGGATCACGATAGTGAACAAGCAATGTGCATCGTATCCTCTACCGCCAATGGATCCACAATGGACATTGACGATCGCTATAGTGTCGCGTTTGATGTTGCCTGCCGCTATACAGGCCTTACATTTTAGCCCACTCATTAATCGCGCCGTCACATACCTCCTCTACCGCGCTCCCTATACCGTGCGCGTCAGGTCTTCGTTCTGTGGTTGTGGGCTACCGCTACCGGGTTCTTTTTTTTTTCTTACATCCTGATGCGGGACTTCTCGAGTATGATGTCATAACTTTTTCGTAGTGTGCTGTTCTTCTGATTACGCACACACACACACACACTAGCACACACACAACCTGTTGGAGGTCGAAGTTGAGGGACGCGTCGACCTTGACGTCGCGGAAGTTGATGACATCGCACTCAACCTCGAATGGAGCGCCCACGGTGACGGCGGAGGGCGCGTTGGTCGCGTGCAGTTCAAGGTCGTGCACAGGCGGAACCTGAAGCGGCGACGCATTGGGGGCGAGGGGGTGAGGAGGGGCGCATAGTGGTGGTGGAGGCATGGGGATTGCATGCTTCGATCAAAGGCACGGCCGAGGATTGTAAGCACGCGCACATGACCATACGAACACATGCACATACTACACACAAACACACACACAAACACACAAACACACACACACACACACAACCACGCGAACAACAGCGAGACGAAACGCACGGGACGTTCGAGCTGGCTCGTCTGGAGATGGCCAAACTCGCCCATGCTGCTGCGCCACATCACATCCAGCTTTCCAATCGCCTTCCGTCGCCTGGCAGTGGTGATGGTGGTGGTGGTGGCGGTGATAGTGGAGGCGGTCGTGTTAGTGGTGATGAAGGTGAACGGATGCATGGTTGATGTATGACAGGTGGACGCGGTGAGACCCATACGCCAGTTGGTGACACTGTGGGACGCTCTCTCACAAACACACAACTACAACACGTTCGGTGGTGTTCGTGGTGTCAGTGGTGATGGTGGTGATACCTGAACTCAAAGTATTGCCCCTCTGCCGGCGTCAATTTGTACAGATAGCTTCGACTCTCCTGTCATCATGGCAACCAAGCATGACGCATACATGGTGTTAAGGATGTGTTCCGAACGTGAACTCGTCAGTGAATACGTGTGTGTGTGTGTGTGTGTGTGTGTGTGTGTGTGTGTGTGTGTGTGTGTGTGTGTGTGTGTGTGTGTGTGTGTGTGTACGTGTTGGGGAAACGCTTGAGAATGGGACTAGTGTGGCGGGTAGCTATGAATGCAAGTGCACGTGTGTGAGCACCAACCTTTGGCTCCACAGACTGAAACCCGTGAAATACAGACCGCGTCTTCCCATCTTGACCTGAACGCACACAAACACACGTGTACACGTGTACATGCACACACGTGTACGTGCACACACCGAACCGGTGAGTGTGAGGTCTTTGAGTGGTCACTAGTGGTCGCTAGTGGTGGTGTTGATGATGACGATGATGATGACAGCAGCACCTATACACAAAACCACGCTGTCCCCCAAATCAACAACACATCAGCAGAAACATGTACAAGCACATCGATGCAACGCACATAACGTGGCATTGCAGTCTTGAACGGCGAACGCAGACTGCGGAGTGAATTTGATGGACTGAAAGTGGATTGGATGTGGCATCTGGTTCTTCACCTGCACTTCAAGCACAATTGTGTTCTACAACGACGGGGCGTGGATGGTACGAAGATGGCGCTCTGGTGAATAAAGACTTCGCACTGGCTGCTTGCGCCCAACAAACACACACACACAGACACACACACACACACACAGTCACACACACACACACACAGTCACACACACAGTCACACACACAGTCACACACACAGACACACAGTCACACACACGCACGCACACGACAGCACTGCGTGTGCAATAAAAGGGGTGCTTGCCTGGATAGTGGTGCAGTGTGGAATGACGTCCAAGGGCTGGTTGACCTCAAAGTTGAACGACTTGCGAAATGTCCTCCGCTCCCCATTCAAGAGCGTGTAGCTCACGGCACAGAGTAACCTGATGCGTTGAAACGCGCCCATGTTGCGTGTCGCATCACGTGCATGCACCACGCCAAAAATGTGCGTTGAACGAATGGCATGGTTGTATGTGGGTGTGAGCTGCTCAATGGCGGCAATAGCGCAGTGACAACAACAGATACACAGGCTTCATCATTATCAGCAGCAACACCACCATGAAACGTGGGTTGTCACACTTGCCCCATGCGGCCGTGCCACACAGCTTTTGTACGTACGCATGCGTGCCAAGACTTCTGATTTCGTGTCTGATTGTGGTTTGCAGCGTTTGTGTTCGCTCCAACTTCGACGCTCGACACGACTCTGGATCTGCGAGCGATGTGTGGCGCTGGCTCGCCGTCTGCATCTCCACCTATATCCCGCGAGCGAGAACAACAAAGGAGGGATGATCAAAGCGTGCAATCAAGGTGAGATAGAGGGCCTTCACTGACAAAGACAGAACTGCGCGTACATGTGTGCGCGTGCAACTCATGGCATACATGTGTGCACGGTGCTCACCTTCAGCGAGACGTTTGTCACCACATCATGGCCGTCGTTGCAGATGTTGATGAACGCAGAAAACGATTCCCCCAAGTACACTTTGCTGCTCATGACAGTGAGTGAGAAAATGGGAGAGAAAGTGAGTGAGCGTGTATGTGAGTGTGGATGTGAGTGTGGATGTGAGTGCGGATATAAGTGGAACGTCGCGTACTGTCCCCGCTTGTGAGCTACAGTGGATACGGCACTATCATCACGAGGAACCCGCAACCTTACATGCGCACCAACACACATACATACACTCACTCGTATGCACTCACATGCGGTCACAAACACCCGATCACGCATCATCACGCGAGGAGCAAACATACCCTTGAGATGAAGGCAGCTGTAAGGCCTCTGTGACGTTGGCTGGCGCGTAGTGGCGAGGGTTTTCTGCGTGGAGCACGTTGCGCGTCAATGCCAACCCTAACACCCACAAACAACACATCCAGTCAACTGCAGGCGTGAGGCACAAGAGCAACAGCGTGCACGAAAGCAATGCAAGGCCATCATCCGACTGAACACCAAGCAAGCAAGAAAGCAAGCAAGCAAGAAAGCAAGCAAGCAAGAAAGCAAGCAAGAAAGAAAGCAAGCAAGAAAGCGAGCGCCATGCCCGACCTTCTTCGTCGTAGCCAACGGGATCATGTCGCGCGAAGCCTGGCTTGGCCAACTGCATCACTGACAGCAAGGGACGAAAGCAGAGAAGTAGTGTGATCCTGAGTGGTGATAGTGGGATAGGAGAGGGATGGAGACACCAACAGGAAGGCCAAGGCACCACCAGGAAGGCCAGCAGGAAGGAAGGCCAGTGTACCTCGCAGTGTGAGCGGGTGCGCTCTTGGCGTCGCATCCATCCTCTTGCTTTTGCTTGCGTGCTTGCTTGTCCTCTGTTGTCTCCGTCAACAACAACAAAAAAACAAGTTTGCTCGTTTACGATTCGATGCGTAAATAAGGTACACTTACAAGCAGCGCAGCGCTTACAGCAACAACGTGCACGTTGCTTGTTGCTTTCTTTGGCTAGCGATCGCGATCGCCGCCCATGGCTGAAACAAGGGCCCCTGCGGAAGGGGAGCGCACGGCGGCGTTTGAGGCGATGCTCAAGGCGCGGGATCACGTGGGCACGACGCTGGCCATGGCTGCGGGCGGCGGAAACCTGGAGGCTGTCAAGTACCTTGTGGAGGTTGCGGGCGTGGACCCCAACGCCACCAAGAAGAAGGGCGGCAACAGCGCCCTGCACGCGTCCCTGGCCCAGAACCGCGTCGAGGTGGCCGAGTACCTCATTGGGAAGGGCGTGGACGTGAATGCGCGCAACATGCGCGGCCAAACGCCGCTCATGCTTGCCGTCTCCTGTTGCCACGGCCTGCGGCCCGTGGAGCTGCTCCTCGCAGCCGGCGCGCGCGCATCCACCAAGAGCTGGCGGTACAAGCAAGACTCCCTGGAGATTGCGCGCATCAAGGGCTTCAAGTCCGCCGTACCGCTGCTGGAGAAGGCCATCGAAGCAGAGGCGGCCAGCGCTCGCGATAGCAAGGAAGGCGAGCAAGAGACGCTACCGCGCGGCCGGACAAAGTGCCCAATCTGCGGTGAGCTCATCCGCGCCAAGCCACGCATCAACTTTCTCATCAGCAACCATGAGAGGGAGGTCGAAAAGGCAACGCAAGCCAGCAACGCAGAGAGCTCAGAGCAGGCGCAGCAGCAACAGGATCAAGTGCAAGATCAAGAGCAGGACCACCAGCAACAGCAGCAGCAGCAAGATCAAGGGGATGCACGTGCCCAAGTTGAAACCCCAACTGCAGACGACGCCACAACCGACCTTGCCGCGAAGCAACTTGAGGCAGCAGCCTTGACAAGCAAGGCAGAGACGCCAGAGGAACCCAACCGATACGTTGGCGAGTTCTTGCAGTCCAAGGCTTTTGCTGCGCTGAAGAGCAACCCGAAGTACCACACACTGGCAGACAAGCACCACCTGCGCAAGGAGGTCACGGAGACGTGGGCCATCCTCGAGGCCGTGCGCGCCCAGTGTACACGCCTGGACATCGACATTGACACCATCACGCTGGTGGACCTGTGCTCTGGCAAGTCGCTCACATCTGCCCTGTTTGGGCTGGAGCACCCGCGCAGCCGCGTCATTGCCGTTGATCGCATGCCAGCCAACATTGTGCCCCACTTTGATGAGAACGTGTCCTACATCCAGGCCGATATCATGCGGCCGGAGTTTGCGCAGCTGCTCGCAGATCGCATTCAACAGTGCAACACCAACCCTCGTGATAGCGCTGATGCTGGCAGCGATGTCGGTCATCCTGATGCTGGTGATGGTGACAGCAGTGATGGTGCGCCCCAGCGTGAGTCCACGCCGCGTCCAGCCATCCTGGTGGGCATGCATCTGTGCGGCGTGTTGTCGCTTCGTGCGATTGAGCTCTTCAAGGCAATTCCCGCGTTCCGCGGCATTGTGCTCTCGCCTTGCTGCTTCCCCACCCGCCGCTCTGGCGTCATGACCGTGCGTGACAGCGGATTCACAGATGAGCTGGACAAGTATGAGTTTTGGACGCGCCACCTGCACACGGCGGTCGCCGCCTCTGCTGCTTCCTGTGACACGTTCAAGAACCCGCTCATCTTCTCGAACAGGAACAACATCATTTCGGCCACCAGATAGCACGCGGTGGTGCCTGTGTCTGTTGTGTGTGTCTGTGTGTCTGTGTGCCTGTGTCTGTTGTGTGTCTGTGTGTGTGCATGTGTGTCTGAGTGTGTGTCTGTCTGTGTGTCTGTCTGTGTTTGTGCATGTGTCTGCGTCTGCGTCTGTGTGTCGATTGATTTTGTGAATCGTTGTGACTGCCTCTCGCTTCGCTCTGTTTGTTCTTGTTTGCCCGCTTGCTCCTGACACATGATGATCTGCTTCAATTGAACAACCGCTAAGGCAAGCAGTGACTAAGAAGGGAACAAGCACACACATTCACACAACACACACACACTTCGCACACGTTGACAATGCAGTGAGAAACAACTTGTCACCATGACTCTCGACAACCACAACCATTGTATGCAACGACTGAAGAAGCAAAAAACATAGTTGTGAACAGAAAGCAGATCATCACATCACAACACACACACATACAGAGCGTACAGGGAAACAAAGGAACAGGTGATGTGACGAAAGGAAGGCAAGGCGTGTTGTGGAGAGGCAGGAGAAACAGTAACAAGGAAGCAGAGCACAACATGCACAGCGGCCAACACGGCAACCTGCCAGTCAACGCGCAAAGGCAATGTGGATTCAGGTCAGGCCACATCAACAAGACGTCGTGGTTACCATCGCTTCCGTCATCATCGCCATCAACAACCACATTGTGGTCACATCTTGGTGCCGACGTAGCGCATGGGGAACCGGCCCTCGCGTCCGTTCAGTCGTCCATAGAAGTCCTGCCCCTGACGGCCTGTCACGAGGATGGTTTGCCCCTGATCAACGGTGGAGGTGATATGGTTGCGGTCGTGGTCATGTTGGAGGTGGGGTTGAGTTGAATGAGATGAGGCAACAACCTGAGGAAGGGTTGAACGATGCGCTGGTGCGACAACTGATGAGCAGCCCCACGTGTACACATGCACACACAAGCACACACACACACACACAAACACACACACACAAACACACACACACACACAAACACACACACAGAGACACACACACACACACAGAGACACACGCACACAAGCGCACACAAGCACATGCACGCATACCCGTGAGAAAGACAGCTCATCTGAAGCAACGGCTTGAAAATCCTGAAGTGCAATGTACTCTTCTTGGTCATCAATTGGAATGTACGAGTCATCCTCATCGTCGTCATCATCATCGTCCATCATGCTACTTTCGTCGCCGCCAAGCATGGACTC